TCCCTCTGGTCTCCCTCTCTGCTCCCTCTGGTCTCCCTCTCTGCTCCCTCTGGTCTCCCTCTCTGCTCCCTCTGGTCTCCCTCTCTGCTCCCTCTGGTCTCCCTCTGGTCTCCCTCTGGTCTCCCTCTAGTCTCCCTCTGGTCTCCCTCTGGTCTCCCTCTAGTCTCCCTCTGGTCTCCCTCTGGTCTCCCTCTCTGCTCCCTCTCTGCTCCCTCTGGTCTCCCTCTGGTCTCCCTCTGGTCTCCCTCTGGTCTCCCTCTGGTCTCCCTCTGGTCTCTGGCCTGACATCACAAACCCAGCCTCAGCCGCGGTTGTGTCTTTCATAAGAACTTTTCTCTTCATCGTTTCTAAGTCTTCATTTTGTGGAAGCGAAGCCCGAAAACAATGGTCTTCTGTCTGGACCCGTCACGGGACAGAGCGGGTCTGTCTCCGGGGCCTGGGTTGGTCTTGGGTCGTGCCCAGGGGCCAAAGGGGGATCATCTCTTGGGTTTCATCATGGCCATAGAAACATCCCGACTCCAAACTATTTTTCAGGCCGAGGAACGACTTTGTCTCATTCATTTGTAGTTCAGAGATTTTTGGGACATTAAAGGGCCCTAGTCTGTCATAATTAAAGGGCCCTAATCTGTCATAATTAAAGGGCCCTAATCTGTCATAATTAAAGGGCCCTAATCTGTCATAATTAAAGGGCCCTAATCTGTCATCATTAAAGGGCCCTAATCTGTCATCATTAAAGGGCCCTAATCTGTCATCATTAAAGGGCCCTAATCTGTCGTCATTAAAGGGCCCTAATCTGTCGTCATTAAAGGGCCCTAATCTGTCGCCATTAAAGGGCCCTAATCTGTCATCATTAAAGGGCCCTAATCTGTCATCATTAAAAGGCCCCAATCTGTCATAATTAAAGGGCCCTAATCTGTCATAATTAAAGGGCTCTAATCTGTCATCATTAAAGGGCCATATTCTGTCATCATTAAAGGGCCCCAATCTGTCATCATTAAAGGGCCCTAATCTGTCATAATTAAAGGGCCCTAATCTGTCATCATTAAAGGGCCATAATCTGTCCTCATTAAATGGCCCTAATCTGTCATCATTAAATGGCCCTAATCTGTCATCATTAAAGGGCCCTAATCTGTCATCATTAAAGGGCCCTAATCTGTCATCATTAAAGGGCCCTAATCTGTCATAATTAAAGGGCCCTAATCTGTCATAATTAAAGGGCCCTAATCTGTCATCATTAAAGGGCCATAATCTGTCCTCATTAAATGGCCCTAATCTGTCCTCATTAAATGGCCCTAATCTGTCATCATTAAAGGGCCCTAATCTGTCATCATTAAAGGGCCCTAATCTGTCATCATTAAATGGCCCTAATCTGTCATCATTAAAGGGCCCTA